CCAGTTTTTACTTCTTCATTAAGAGACTGTCTATAGGTTGGATGTTTAACTATTTAACATATCAAAGGAAATAAGTATTCTTAATAAGAGTTGAGAAAATATTGTTCAATTACAGTTATATTTGAGGCTAGTGACATTGCTTTTTAATGTGTCAGGCCTGTGTGCTAATCCCTTGTTTGTACATATTTAGTTTGCAGTAATTACTTCTACAGCTTCAGATATGTGAGAATTTTATGTTGCCATCAGGAATGACTTCCATTTTTGAAAATACTGCTTGACTCCAGAAGCAAAATCACTTTAACAGTTCCATGTTAGACATTCATAATTGCCAACACCCTCCCCTCACCCCCACAACTTCATTTTTGGAAACTTCTGGAGAGTTCATTTTTTGACCAGATCTTTGTGGTAGTTATCTACCTTATTGGTTTTTTACATAAACTTAAGTTCTTTTGATACAGCTCAAATCTATTGAAGTAATGCTCTGGAGCCTATGCAGGGTTTGGCCGACATGAGCTATAGAAAGTGAAATTATAAGAAAGAGAGTCTGAACTCCATTAGCCAAGTTTTAATTGTTTCAAGAACTAGTAATAATATAAATGTTGTAGATTTTTTTATGTGGAGAAATTAATTACAATTGTTCACTAGCATTTAATGTGTTTGCAAATCATCAATGTAGATCTGACACCTTCAAACTACATACATCTACTTAAAATGAATAAACTTTTGCTTTAAACCTCAGATATTGTGGGAATTAAGATATTACTCATGTACCTTCCCCTCCTCCCTTTTTCCACTGTGGTGTGAATTAAGGCTGGATTTTCAACACTTACTGTAAATTTCTTTACTTGGTGTTATAGTCATCTTAAATCTTCATTTGCTTTTGCATAGCTTTCGTGCAGTTTAATAGACAATTAATTTCAGAAATATGAACATAAATCAAATGAGGAAATTTTAAGTTAGTTTTTCTGGAGTTGTGTGTAAAGAGTTATGTTGTAGAGCAATAAAAATGATTAAAGGACATTCCAAATGTGTGTGAATAAAATTCTTTTTTATTTGTAGTTTTCATAATTCTACCCTTTTTTCTCTTTATTTTTTACATAGGGAATGTCCAGATGCAGACTCAGTTGTAAGTAGACTTTTCTCACCTCCGCTTCCCCCCTCCCATCTGTGTGCGCGCACTAACTTTGTTAGGGTCTAAACTGCAGCCAAATCTGACTTATGCTGTATTTACTAGGGCTGTCAAACAATTAATAAAATTAATCATAAGATTTTTTGAAAAATAGTTGTGATTAATCACTATTTTAATCGCACAGTTAAACAATAATAGAATCCCAATTGATTAAAAATATTTTTGGATTTTTTTCTATATTTTCAAATAAATTTATTTCAGTTATGACTCAGTGCTATAAGAACAGAGTAGAACTGTGCTAATTTCTGCCTAGTGATTAAGTACAGTAAGTGTGGCAGCAGCGAGGTGGGAAGGACTGCTTTTCCCCCAGTGCGCAGGGTCACGTAGGCAGTAGACAGTGGGGAGGGGCCACTTTTCCCCAAGCATGCACAGTCCAGCAGCAGCCCTTAACGTACGTTAAAAAAATTAACGCATTAATAGCACCTGTTAATGGTGATTAATTGACAGCCCTAATATTTACTCCTATACCACACACATTTTCTTCAAAAATTGGTGCCCCCACAAATGTTAACTCTTTTCTCTCCTTTTAATGATCTTGATGTTCCAATAATCAAGCTAATAGTTCTTCTGGCAATTTTGCTCTCTGCTAGCTATTCCTAATCTTCCTTCTCCTACTTCACAACCTTGTAGACTGTTTTTAGCTCTTTTCAAAATCTTATATCTACCAATAAATATAACAGTTTTCAGAAGCAGGTAGGGTCTCAGCTTTTGCTTATGCAAGAAGGGGAGGGTGAGTGATCTGACGAGTAGTCCCTGTCCCCACTCTGTGCAGCCATAACTCTGAAAAAATCTTTTTTTCTTCATTCTGCCTTCTCAAAAACAAGGTGTGTGTGTTTTGTGGGGTGTGGTATGCAAGAAAATATGGTATTATAGTTTTCTGAAACAAAAGGATATGCTCATGACACCGAATGTAATAATCTAATGTATTAGTTGGAAGTAATTCGTAAGTATCTCCATTTTGGCTGGAGATGTAGCCATTGGTAGCATACAAAAATGGTCTGTTAAAGCAAGACATTTCATTTCAACCACTTACTAATTTAATTTGAAAGGTTAATAGGATCTTAATGAATTAAACATGTAACATATGCCTTATCCTTACACTGTAATCTGCCCATACAAGTTGCTGCATCTTTGCACAATCCCATCAGTGGTTTTGTTTCATTGCAACAACTTGTACAAATGGGATGAAACTGTAGGTCCAGGGCCTACATTTGTAAATGACTGATACATACCTGAAATTTCTGCGGTCTTTGGCTTTATCTATTTGGGTGCAGGTCTTCTGATGCTTTCAGTTCCACCTGTTATGTATTTTTATAGTTTTATTTCTCAGCTTTAAAAAGGTTTTAATTGCAAATTAAGCAGTGGAGTTGGCAGTTTTCTGTTTAAGAAATTTTACTTTGAGTTTTTCTTGTTTAAACGTTTCTATCTACATCTAATTCAAAATTACATGTAATGCAGTTCCCTGTGGCTATGATTGGGGAATAGATTTACAGAATTCTGTAAGTGATTTGCTGTAGACTAAGTTACTTCTCAATCAGTTTATTAAACACCAGTGATATTGAAGAACTTAAGTGTCCTGGTGTACCTGTTTTTGTTCATGCTAGAATATCTGCCCGCGCTTACTATTTTAATCCTATATTAACATGTGGGGGGAGAGAGAGAGAGATTTGCTTGGTTATTTTTTCTAATACAATTTTACTGACTAGAAAAGTACATTTTACCAAATAATGCAAAGTATATTAAAGTCATAAAGCATCTGTTAGGTTTTTTTATTATCCATTTAGCAGAAACAATAATTTGATTTTTTTTTTTATTTAAAATTTTTAAATTTCTGAAAGAATTCATACAAAGCAAACTTTCTTTTTTTGAGTGAATATGCAGTGCAAAAACAGAGAATTACCCCAAGAATTATCCAGCCCTTAATGGAAATAATGGCTTTTGACAGGTCTAGGGTTAAATCAGTGGAGTGAAATGTAACTCAGTTTGACTTGCAATGTTTATTTTCTGACTTGCTTGTTTTTGTGACCATGCTTTAATAATTAATTAAATTCAACTGTAAATATGCCTGACATTCTTTACAAATCCACTAGGTCTTCATTTATATGAATTTAGATACTGTGAAAAATTATACTTTGTAGTTGCTAACCACAAATTTGATGTATTCATTTGATTCTGGCTGGATCATTTCTAGTATTTTATGAGTGCACTTAAACAGAATTTAAAATTCTAGTCTAATTTCTCTCTTTTGTTTTGTCAAACAGCAATATTATTTCCTTTGTTGGACTTCTGCTTTGTTTAAAAAAAAGCCATTAAAATATTACCGCTTTCAAGTAAACTGATGCAGCATGCTCTAGCTGAGTTCTCACCGCATTAAGTACTATATCTGAGCACTCCCTACCCCCATTAGATCAACTGGTCCCATGGGCCACACTTAAGCCATGGGAGTTTATTTCTAGTGTGTCCCGTTTTGATGCCATTCTTTTTAATTTTTTAAGATTTCAGTTGTTTCACTCCTTAAATATGGTAGCTATAACTCATGTTATCTGTATTGGTAATCAGTGAAATGATTTTGTATATCAAACTCTGTTTGACATATAGTCCCATGACCAAGTACATTTAAACTGTTAGAAATGTATTCTTGCAAATATAATATGAATTGTATCATATTACAATTATATAATATCTTTAATATTCTATTAAAATAATATTGAAAGAACAATATTCACCTTTTTTTGTACTTTGTTTTTATAAGTTATGAACCTTATTCTCCATATAGTCTCGGGTCACTTATTTTCTGCCATCCGTTATGGTCATACAGCTGTTTTAATGTTTACATATGGAAATCCTTTTCATATAATTTTTATAAAATTCATGATCATGTTATGAAGTTAAGAGTGGTGATTTTTTCGCATTTAGAAAACCTTGAAACAGGTTGGTTTGTTTAATTTTACTACTTAAACCACTTCTCCCTTTCTAACATTAATGGGTTTTAATTTAAATATAAATGGTGAAGATTTGCAAAAGTAATTGGTAATTTGGGAGTGCCCACCAGATTTTTTTTTTTCTTCTTTTGGGGTTAAAGAACCTTGATTGTTAGGAAGTGATGAGCCACCAATCACTGAAATTCAGACTGACTTCAGGTATCTTGAGTTGCTATTTTGGGAACCTGTATCAAGGTTTTAGCTCTGGGGTGGCCAGTCTGCAGCATGGGTGACACAAGGGGACATGACTGATTGGAAACGGGACAGGTAGCACAGTGGCAAATAGGGCAAGAGCAGACAGCAGAGCAGCAGATTGGGTAAAGGAAGGATTGGAGTGGCATTTGGGGAAGGTTCAGGGCTAATTTGTAGCACACCTATCAAAGAGATTGGCCTCCATCATCTTAGCTGATCATTTTTCTAACATGGTTGTTTGTTTACATGTGAAATGTCTTCATTTGTGATCTTTTGTACAGGGAGCAGGTGGAGGAACTTCCTCTCTGTCATCTAAAATTGTGGTCATGGGGAAAATTTTGTAAACATTTTAGGTATAAAAAAAAAAATGAAGCTCCAATCAGAGCTGAATTCAATAGCAGTCTTTTCCACTGTTCCTACATAATACTGTCGAGAGGCAGTTAGCTGTGTTTGCCTGAAGTTAGCCAGAAGGCAGCATAGCATAACACCTTAGAGACTAACTAGTTCTGAGAGGCATGAACTCTCATAGGCAACAGCTACTTTGTCACGTGCTGTGAATAAATTGACAAAGGAAAGAGTTTTTTATTTGATTTAATTAAATGTATTGGATATATAATGTCATAGTCAAATTAGAGAAAATAGGCTAGTGTATTAGTCACTTTCTTTAGGAGATTCCTATTTCTATGTAAATATCATTGGAATATATGAAAAATGGAAAAATAGGATAAAAAGACAACAATAGAAAATGCATACATACCTAATACAGCACTATTTAAACCATCTCTGAACCAGATGTCTGGGAACACTGTTGTTATCATATTTGTTGGCAGCTGCTAGATCATGTAAAAAGATGCATACATTTAATACTAGCTTAAATTTATTTTTCTTATAAGCAGTTACTGCAGTTTCCTAACTCCCGACCTCAACCCCCTCACCTTGCTGGTGCAGGATGCACTATTCTTAAACCACCCAAGGCAGATGTCATTCTAGCATCTTTAAAACATCCAGTGAAGATCCCACAAGTTCCCTGAGCAACTTGTTCCATTGTCCTGCTATTCTTGCACTTAGGTGGTTTTTCTGAGATTTAATCTAAATGTGTTTTCCTCCCTCCCCGCAGTTTAAATCCATTTCCTTGGGGGTTTTGCCTTTTGTGGCCTTTTGTGGAACCTGTTTCATGCAGAGTTAAAGCTGGGGCAATGGAGCTCATATAGACATGTTCAGATGATCTAGGAGAATTCTCCTGGATTTGGTCCCCTGGTAGAAAGACTTACCCAAGGATGCCTGAACAGGCATTTGAATGCCTAGCAGCTGAAGAGCAGAGATTGTGTAGTGCTGACTACACAGCCAAGGGGCCCCTGTGCTCACATCAGTGTGTTCTGCAGGCTCCCTCAGTCTGCCTGGTGACAGATGGCAGCAGTGTACAAGGCTACCCTGATTGGCTGATACAGACTTCTCAGAGTCAGCCTGCAGCACGCTGTGGGATGGTGAAGAGGGTGTGTTCTATTCGCTGTGCAGCTGGAGAAGTAGAGTCTCTAGTAGACATACTGTTTTAGAGGTTAGGACAGGTGGGGTAGAGGCTGGAAGACTGTGCTGTGTCTTCTTTCAGACGGGTAAGTACAGACATTCACTCTCCCAGGAGAAACTTTTCTGGGAGTAATTTAATCCAAGTTATTTTTCTCCTGGAACTTACTCTGAGACAAAAATCTTGAACAGCTGTATACTAGTGGCTTCTTCTAGGAGAGCAGGAGCTCCCAAGAGAAACTCAGTATCTAAATGTGGTCTTGTATCACTGTCTTCTTAGGTGTAACAGTTACAACGTAACAACTGCTGGGCACTCCTGAGTAGCACCAGCCTCCCCTCCTCTTTGGAAACTGCTCCAAGTGTACATTTGTCCATATCCTGAATCACTCTAGTTCAGGGGCAGATCCAAGATTTCCAAGAGGGGGGTGCACGAGTAGCAAGCCACACTGCACGGTAGCTGTGCCTTCCTCCTGTAAGCCTCCTCCCATCTCCCAACCAATGTGGGTGCACTGGAAGCCTCTGGGAATTTTTACAAGTCTCCCTAAAGCAGGTGAAAATGCCCCCTGCTTTAGGGAGACCTGTAAAAATTCCACTTCATGATCAGAGGCATGTTTCCACCCTTCCGTTTCTGCCCCTTCCCCAGCTGCCACTGCTGCTTTCCCCTCTGTCCTGGGGGGATAGACAAAGTGCTTGAGTGACTTCTGCACGCCCCAGCTGGGCTGTGCAGGGGCTGGTCTCAAGTTCAGATGGGGACTGGACAACAGCAGCAGGGATGGGCAGGGGTGTGCCCCCTGCCACACCTGCTCCCAAGAAATCAGGCAAGGAGGGGGAAACTACTCTCCCACCACACTTTATCTGTTGTCTTTGTCCCCAGTTAAGACCAGGGTTCTTTCAGACCAGATGGGGCAGGTAGAAGCAGGTCTGGTGCTTTCCCTGCCCTGGGACCATGAGGAAAGTAGGAGGGACAGGCAAGAGAGAAGGGGAGGGGAGCAGGTGTGCCTTGAGCACCCAGGGGAAGGGAGGGGGGATTTTCACCTGTTTAGGGACTTTAAGAAGACCCCAGAGGCTCCTGTGGTGTGCCCCAAACCAAAAAAAGGGAGGGTACTCAGCTGTGCCACTGTACCCCCTCTGGATCTGCCCTGCCCTGTCTCTACAGGAAGGAGGGCAGTAAGGGGCATTTTCTTCTTAGCTGTATCCCACTGCTACTTCTGCTGTGAGAAAAGCACTCTGAGCAGCTAGTTTCTTCTGCATCTCAGGGGAGAGATGAATGAGTAACTGGGTGTTTCATTATCTGTGTGTCTGCTGGGCTTTTGAAACCCAGGAAGAACAGGATAAGAGTTAAGCTCTACCTGCATATCAGGAACACCTTGCTAAAGAAGCAGCCCTGGCAGTACAGGAAAGAAGCTGAGAAACAGCAACCAGTTAGGGTTCCTTAATTATCTATCCGTGAGGTGTCAGTAATTCTGAGCTAGATCTAGACTGCAGGGGTCCAATCCAGCTCTGGCAGTGAAGTGCTGGATCCTGACCAAACACCAGCAGCAGGGTGGTGGTGATATTAATCCCCATGGGTACGTTTTGCACACACTTCATTTTGATATATATTTAAATGTATTACTATATAGAGTTGTAGGGCAGAGCTAAGTAGCATGGGACTACTGAGGTCAAGAAGCTTTGCAGGTCACAGTTTTTGCTGCTAAGTTTGTGTTTCCCTTTTCTGCATATTAATTCTTTTCCCTACTTGAATATGTTCACATTTAGTAGCTGCTAAAGTAGCATTATTAACATCATGATAGATAGTTTTGTCTTTAGAACTAAGGTAAGATCTTGAGGCTACTTCCCTCTTAACCCCGCACTGTACATTTGTAGAGCCTGTTGTACCACAGTGGCAGGAGGCATGCCCTGATATGAAGCCTTTGGATGTCAAATGACAGCCCAGGGGAATGGTTGCCTCAATACCCCTAATTATGGATAAATCCATGGTTGAAGCCCTTTTGCAAGATCAGACATGACATTTAAATTAAGTTAATATGAAGCTTTTTAAATTAAGTTTTAAGAGAATTTGCCTAATGGTTGGGTGTTTAAATGTGTTTCATTTATCCTTGCAATTAGTAATTTTTTAAAAAGTCGCTTAGATAATATAAATTCTTTCACAATATTAACAACAAAAAACAGAACTAATGTCATCTGCAACTTTTCCACTGTTCCTAATTATGGCATTTTAAATATCCAGTCTAACTAGAAGAAAACCAAAGAAAATGTTTAGTGTATGTTTAAAGATGTGTTGCATATTTGAACCATGAAATATTGACAATAGCCTACTGTGACAAATGTTTTAGAAGTCAGTAGTTGTAGTATTGTGTGGGCATGTACATAGCCTCTGACTGTTTTGTTCTGTTTACTTTGATGTCGAGTTTCATTAATCCTTCTTTAGCATAAAACAAAGTCAGTTTGAGGTCAAACATAGCTAAAAAAATTCTGACTTGAACAAGTTGGACTAAGGTACCAGATTGTGATGCTAACTTGTTGGTTTAACATAGCTATGAAGTCAGGCCCTCAGAGCTTTCTAAAAGAGAAGGGGATCTCAGTGTTCTTTATTGTAAGGTTGAAGTCTAAAGATAAATATTGCTGACTAGATGTCTGTTGGAAAGATTATACTCCATACACATCTTAAAATGTAACACTTATGAGTTAAATAGTATAATCTAATTTTCTACTAAAAGGAGTCTTTCTAATAAACTTGTTAATTCTACATAATGCATTATAGCTTAAAGGTGATGGGATGATACCAAATTAAAGACAAAATTTATCTCAGAAACTTGTTAAGAAAAATCTGAAAATCCGATTTTGGCTGTCAGTTTTGAAAATTAAGAAATATCAACATAATAAACCTCTTATTTTGAAAGTGAACATATTATTAGTTAGTACACTGTGTTACACCACAATGTTCCACATAAGTCTTAATTCTTTTGATCTGGTGAAATTGAAGTTGTTGTTATGGAGATGAAAAATGCTGTGGTTTAGGTTCTAAACCCGGGAGATGGTGTATTGCTCAGGCTGGACTACTACTCCATCCAGGCAGGGAGTAGAACACACCTTCACAGTCCCACATTGTGCTGCAGGGAGACACAGGCTGACTCTGAGCAGTTTGGATCCACCAGTCAGGGCTGCCCTGTGCACTGCTGCCATCTGTTACTGGGCAGACTGAAGGTGTCTGCAGAGCATACTGAGTTGTGTGCACAGGGGCCGCCTGACTGTCTCTGCCCAGCGAACTTGGAGTCTCCGTGGAGACTAGCTGGGACCCGCATGGGCAGGACATGCAGCTGGGTGCTTGGGATGGGGCTGAGGGCTGGTGGGGAGCAACATTCAGGAGTGGGACAAGCAGAGCCTAGACCTGGAGTAGAGCTGTGGTTCACTTCCCACACATCCCTGCCCACAGAACTGGTGCCTGTCGTAGGGACGTGCAGGCAGCGGATCACAGCTCTGCATTGGACCCCCCCACACACACACAAACACTGTCGCCACCTCGTGACCCCAACCCCAGCCCCCCTT